GGTTTTTTTTTTTTTTTTTTTTTGGAGAACGGACGAAAATCGGTGCGCGCGCAGGATGTCATCCATAAAATTAAAAAAGTGTGGCCTTATTTGATTCCTCTTTCGTGTAGTTATTACCTGCTATCAGTGGAAGCGTTATGGTTATTTTGTGATTCACTTCGCGGCGGGTATGGTATGGGACCATCCTTTTGACATCGGCAAAACTCCACTTCCTTTGCTGTTCGAAGATTAGCGTACGTAGGGGGAAAAGTGGAGAACCTCGAAATGTAGGGTGTACGGCTCACGCCACGTACAACCCTCTACTTTTATTTTCACGACAAAATATGAATAAATGACAAAAAGGTAAAAACAACATCTCACTGCACAGAAAAAGGTAAATATTTTAACAACGTAAAATCATATTTGATATTATAATCTATACCTTTATTTGGTATCATTTGGTATTACTACAAAGTTTTGGTATTACTACCTCATCTTTCAGAATGCAATCCAGTACCACAGTGTGCCGAAGAAACCAAATTCGCCTGTCTCTTTGACTGCAAGTGTGGAGATCAAGCCGTCTGCAAGTAGGTAGAAATAAACAGGGGTTGATCTTATCGCCATAACTTGAATTCTGGCTCTTCTCCATTCAAACGGATATACATATTGAAGGTCAAAACGTTGAAATGCTCTGAATCGTTTGAACTCAATAGTAGTTTTTATACATTATGTTAAAACTGTAAGATCTATTCTTGACACAAAATTTTGTAATCAACGTTAACCAAAAATTAACCCCGATCTAATTGCCTTTTTCACCTCATCATCATCACCGATTCACCATTATCATTATTATCAGCTTTGACACTCAATTTTGCACTTAGATTGATTCTGCGTTCGCCGTCATTCATATTTATTTTCGCTTTATATTCATACTTTCAGACTTGACTGTGATTGCCAACCCATGTGTGTTAGCGGTGACATGACGACGTGCGGAGAGGCCACTTGCGACATCCCGGAACCAGATTTCGAGCCTTAGCGTCTGCCTTTCAAAGGAAACAATTTAATTAAGATCGAGACATTGTCCTTTTTTATGGCGATTAAAATAAAATGACACTTACTTTGACGAAATGTTTTGTGTCTTTGACTGTCTTAAAACAATATTTTTTTGCAGCAAATTATCTTTACATTGCGCTCAACAAGTATTTTACTTATTTATGAGATCAGAGCGTGGGCTATTTTAGTTTGAATCTAAAAATTAAAAATTAAATTTTTTAATTGAAATTTAAATGCGCAATATCATCAGGACTTCATTAACTTCTAGCCGGGATGCAGGAGTTTACTCTAAATAACCAATTTACTATCAATCACATGACGACGGGGTGCTCTTTTGTCAGGAAGTTTCATCACACAACAATTCATTAACGATGATGTTCTTTCAAATCCTGCATAATGGTCATCAATGGCGAAATAGCAGGGGCCTTATGCAATACTCTTAATCACTTACTTAATGTTAAAACAAAAATAAAATAAATAAATGAATAAAAATACATAAAACAAAAATTAAAAAGAAAAATATTTAAAACAAAAATCAATAACAAAGAACACCTTCAAAGTCATTCTTATTTTAAAGTATTATGATAAGGAAAAAACATGCGAAACAGTTCTTTTATTCAAAATTTTCAGACCATTGGAACATAGAGACTACAGCCTACTGAACCCCAAAACTTGGGATATTATACTGTAGAGACTTGAAAATGGACACATTTCTTACAAAAAATAAAAAAAAATTTGCCTTTGTCCGTGAGATGGAAAATGTGGGTTGGAGAAGAGTAGGTTAATTCTGAATTTAGAAATGTCATCTACACAAAACCATGGGGATTTTTAACTTTGCTTTTGTTTTTATAAATATTATGTGTCGCAAAACATTAAAAACTACCTTCTGTGTCTTGCATTTATTACGTTACACAAAAGAATTCCACTAAGAAAATTATCGTATTGAAGAGAGCGTAGTGGTATTCCGTATTTGAATTCATTTTAATTTTATGAAAATGTTTACTTAGTACAAAGTTTAAGAGTAGTCATACGTATATACATAATAGCAGCGTGAACACCCTTACTTACCCCTCAATGATTTTTGTTTCCTAGAAATCATGAAAAATAATAAGGAAACTGTTTACATAACTGCTACATTTGGATTTTCATGACCAAATTTAATAAACTGAACAGTAATAATAAATGATACAATCAGATGGTGTTACCACTGAATGCTTTGGGTTGTATGCTTTGGGTCCATTTTAAAAAGATATGTCAATAATAAATGACACAATCTTGATGTCAAAGCTGATTTCCTTAAGATCTCAGTGGTTGTGTCCACATAATTATTTTGGGCTAGAGAATATGAATACTTTGGGTTGCACACTTTTAGATTGAAATGTCAATAATAAATGACCCAATCTTGATATCAAAGCCGCTTTCCTTAAAATTTCAGTGGATGTGAATACATAATTATTTTTGGCCAAAGACTTAGAAAGCTTTGGGTTGCACACTTTAAGACTGAAATGTCAATAATAGATGATCCAGTCTAGACGGCAAGTCTTTGATCATAGTCTTTTTTTTATTTGATTATCTTGATTTGAGTTCTGAGAAATAAATAAATGATAAGACCACGATTTGTTTTTACATTGGCTGCATGGTCACTTGCTGCAGTAAAAAAGGTGCATTAACACAAAATTTAAACAGACTGAGAGAGATCCCTATAAGTGCTACACCTACTTTATGTATCAGTATCTGTTCTTTTTTGTTATTAAGCAAGCAGTTAAATGACACCTTATTAACTACATCCAATTCCCAAGTTCAGCTAATTTATTTGCGTGGATTATTACAGAGGGGACCCACTTAATGACAGACAATAAGTTCTTGTGGTAAATTGGTTTCAGTCCACCAGTGCCAGGTATAACTTCCACTAGACATGATATGCTTATAAAGACATGCACCAAATAATTACTGTTAAACAGAGACTACTTGCCATCACAGAATAAGCAGACAGACTCAACTCTTCAGGATGCTGTGGAAATTTTGCTTGTGCACTGTCATGACTGCCTTCCTAACAAGTGCAAACTTCTCTTTCACTTGCGGTGCTGAGCAGGTAAGTCATTGTGTACAGAACTTACCAGTCATATATAATTTTTTTCTAGTCTAGTGAAAAATAGATTCAAAGGCCAAAAACCCTAACCTACCATTAGATAACTGACAATAAATATAACAAAGTATAAAAAAATAAATAAATGGAACATAAACATAATTTGCCACTTTTCTCCCTGGTTACAGGTTACTGGTGTTACTGGCATTGTAGAAATCCAAGAGCTTAAAGATATGAAGCAGAGTATTGATGACCTCAAGGCTTACACCCAAAAAGGTGTCCGAAACCTCCAGAAACAACTGCGGGCTTTGAAGACGCTGATGGAAGAAAATGCAAGAAGACAGCACAGTAGGTATTTTTACAGCATTGGACTCATCAAGGGCATATATATTATTAAGTGAAAAAAGGGGGTTAGTTTTGATCTCTTTTGACACTTTTCTTTGTGCCAATTGAAATGTTCAGGTATTCTAAAAATTGTATCAAAATGTATTTAACATATCATTTTTGTCCTTTTAAAATGCTACCCTTCAGCATTTAAAAACTCTGCGCTTGACTCTTTTTTTTGTGTGTGTGATTGATGCAGTAAACTCAATTAAAATTTGATTTTATCAATTCAACCTGCACATGTCGGTACACTTCACAATGTGTGTCCACATTAGCAGGACACTAACAGGACAATAAACAGGGAAAATATGCCTGATCAAATGTCAACATATGTAGATATTAGAGTCATGGCCATCTATTTGTTTATACATTAGGAGTACTTTTAACACATCTTGAAATTATTACTAATACTAACCAAGAATTATTCTTTTAAGTTCCAGTCTTCCATGTTCGTTCATCTGAAGGTGGATACAAACTATCCTTTAATCAAGTTCAACAGGCATGCATTGAACGAGGTGCCAAAATCGCAACACCAGCCCAACTGCAAGCTGCATGGGAAGATGGACTGGATGTCTGTGCATTTGGTTGGGCAGCCGATGGGAAAATTTACCTCCCTATCCGTTACCCTAGACCTGGTTGTGGGAGTAGCAGATCCCTGACAACTGGACATAAGGGCTGGATTGACCAAAATGCTAGTGGAAAGGCAGATGTTTATTGTTTCAAGCTGTAACTTTATCATGAAAATACTGCCACTTAGTTTTTGACAGCCAAAAAAACTGAATGAAGCTAAAAATGCCAGCTAAAAATTGCTGAATAAAATGTAGAAGCAAATGTGATTTTTTTAAAGTTTATTTTGCCTAGCCTTAGTTCACTTCTGCTGTGCATGATTAAATTTTAGTGTTGATTGAATACGCATTATTATTGTATCAAAATTGACAAAATGACCCATTTTCTGCATTTTGTCTACATTTGACAGCTTTGCTGCCATGTTCCTTATAACAGTGATTTTTGAAAAAGGTTTCCATTTTACCTTATAATAGCATAAGCCTTTTTTCCTTCTAGTCTATTATATCAGATTTCTCTTACTTTTCCTTCAGTGAGTGTCTACATATTTGAGTACCAAAGGCGCTACAAATAATCCACTTAAAGTATGAATTTTAAACTCAGAACAAATAGGGTCCAGACAGACTTTACAAAACGTTAGAAACCAGTGATAAAGTGGTTTGTCCCCCCCACCCCCCCCAAATTCTATTAAGTATTGCATTTTGTACTCTCGATGGGTGCTGACAATTTCATATTTTTTTCAAGTCCGTTCCCACCTAAATATTTAATTGTTTATATTCTGGCTTTGGTCCAGAACTTAGTATTCATGATTTCCATCATTTGCGAAAAATCTAATAAGTGGTTGGACATGTTTATTCACATGGTGCAATACAACTGTTATACACATACACTTCTGCACTAGATAATTTACATATTTATGATAAGAAGATATGTATAAAATTAATAAATATTACAATATTAACTTTGCTTCACATGAAATATGTACAGAACTGGATATTTCTAAGGGACACAAACATCAAATATTGTTATAGGCTTGAACTTTTTAAACTTAAAAAGAACCCACTTAAAAAGGAAAAAGTATCTACTTATTTGCCCATATGTTTCCCATGCTCTTCATGCAAAACAAAAAAGCAAGATTTACTTTCGTTCCCAAAATCTTTTTCTAAAAAAAACGCCCAAATTGCAATCAATTTGATTGGAATACTGAAAATTAGAAAATTATAGATCTACCATTTTAAATTTTTAAGTGTAAAATAATGAAAAGAAATCTTTTTTATAAATAACTACTTTTTTTCAAAGATTCTTGGTCATGCAGACTACGGATGGATTAAGTTCTAAAACTGACAATTTAAAAATTATTCCCAAAATAAAAAACAAACTTTGCTGATAAACCTAGTAAAATTCCATCTTAAAACAAAACACATGTACCAAATCAACTTTAAATACGTTAACCCTTGCTCAAAGTAATAAAGACACTTAACAGATATGTGCACTTTTGACTAACCAATTACACTTAACAATTCATACAATGTGACTGCCCAAATGTTTGTTGGCCCTTTTGCTACTCCTAAACCACAAAAAAAGTGTCAATATGAAATTTTCTCTAAAAAGAAAGAAAAACATTACCAGTAAAATTTAAGCATGCTACTCATGTTTTAAGTTTCATTTTGAGCAAAAGACTATAGAGGTAACTTTCTGCTGCTGTTATACACAAAAATGTCTCCGTATGACACCACTTTTTCAAATTACACATCACAGTACGGGGTTTTTAAAAAGTACTCTACGATACAGATTGTTCTCATTACATCAGTCATCAATTAACATTTCACTTGGAAATAAACGATAATACTCTTGCAATGATCTAAGTTTCAAAAAACAACAAATATTCATTCATAGTTTGTGCAATACAGTTACCTGCCAAAATGTAGTTTCACAAGCTATCTAATTTTATAAAGTCAAAAATGATATTTCATCCTGCTTTTTCCAGCATCAGTGTCCAATATAAGCTAAACCATGTCTGGGGTAGTGCTAGCAATTATTTACGTTTAGCCAAATCACCTCATTTTTGTCAAATTGTTCCTAAAATGGTTATAATCTGGCTAAAACATGTCAAATCATGCCCTTTTTCTTTAGCCAATTTAAGTCAGTTTTACCATTTGGCTAAATTGGCGAGTGTTAGCGCTACCCCAGCATGTTGTCCAGTTTGCCACCATTTCAATGCTCAAAACACCATAGAACTGTTGTTTATCTTGTTATGAACAACAGAATTACATCTGAAAACCATGGGAATTGATCCTAAATTATACTTAGAATATGTATATAATTGGAGCAAGCAAACCTTACGACTTATAAGCTTACAAAGATTAAAGAACTTTTATTATTGTTGGATATTTCCAAAATGTAATTTTTCCTTCCAAAGTCTTTCAAGTACCAAAAATAATACTGAATAAAAGATTACTTCTTTAAAAATTTCATAAACGACATGTATAATTCATGATACCTTTCTTATCACATATCATTTTTTCAATAGTCTATTATATGGGTCATTCTCACTGCTTTAAGTTACAAGAAAAATATCACCATCATCAGCATGCGATGTAAACTTTTATCAATTCTTTTCAGTGGCTAGATAGCTGTAGCCCAGATAGTCCAATTTTTCATTTAATTTCTGGAGAAACAGCAAGTAATATTCAGATAAACCATGTCCTGTCCACTGCAGCAATTAATCCAAATCATCCACATCATACCCATCATGGTAATCTTCCATTTCTGCATTAAAAACAATAATAATAATAATAATAATAATAATAATAATAATAATAATAATAATAATGTACATACAATAATAAAATAATTTGAAATACATCAAATAACAAAGGGGTGGTTAAATGAATTAAATTCCAATTAACTAAAAGCACACACAGACTGCTATGTATTTCTTTAGGAAAATACAGATTATGGTTCCTAAAATCTGAATTTAATCCAGAGTATAAAGTAACCCTAGAATGAAAAGATGTTTAAAGACAATAACAAAGTGATCCTCACCTGCCCCATGCCCCAGTAGTGTGGCTGCACTGATGTGTTCCTCTTCCTCCTCCTCTTCCTCCTCCTCCTCCTCTGCTTCTTCTGAATTAAACAAACCAAGACCATTTAACTTACAGCACAATATAGCTGTTTACTAGTTAATAAGAAATAAGTTAAACCCATAATTCAGGTCCAATTCAAAGCTTGTAATTGTGAAGTTTCTGTCATCTGAAAAAGTTTCCCTTTATACAAATCTAAGTTTTACCACAATTTAACTTGTCACCATACACACTTGGGGACAATTTAACAAAATTATCTCCATGTAGTTACAATTTGAGAATTTGGAACAAGACTCGCCTTCTTCTTTGGCATAGTCCACAGGTCCAGTTTCCACAATGACTGCAGCTGTGACTTTGTCTTCAACTTTAACCTTTTTAATAGGTGGTTCCTAGCAATCAAACAGCAGCATATCATAAATAAATCAATTTAATTAACAAAATACTCTGCATTAAAATGTAGGCTAGAAAGTCACTCAAATGAAGAAGTACCGCACAAAGAGTACAACAAATGACTGCTATGCTTTTTCTTTTCTTTCAAATTTGACAAACTTACTTTCCGGGATTGTTCAGCTGTGTTCGAGTCTATTGATAAGCTGGTCCTTCTAAATCTGGAAAACATTTGTAATCTTTTGTTACAAACCACAATGTTATCACAGATTTTGTGTGTAAGGTAGTTATGTTCTGTGCAGTGAAAATTCAAACTTGCTCCTGACTTTAGATCATGTTTCAACTCAATTTCATTAATAATAGGAGAAAATACATATTAAAAACAAGGACAGGACAAACTCCAGAGTATTGGTAGAGAGAATGTGCTAAAAGAGGAGAGAATACATAACTGTGTGTGTGTGTGTGAGAGAGAGAGAGAGAGAGAGAGAGAAGGAAAATTGATATAAAGAAGAAAGGGAGCCAGCCACTTCTACCTTTTACTATCTGGGGTTCCTATCCCAGACTTCACTGGGGTACTGGCACCAAGGACGGGCTCCGCCACTATAACCTGCTTGCTTTCAGACACCCTGTTCAGATCTTTGAGAACTTCATAGTTGATTTTGTTCGAGAATTTCTTTTCATGCAGCATTTTCTGTATAGCTTCCTCTGCACTGTTGGCTGGGTATTGTTGCTTCTTCTTCTTGTGTTGTTTTTTCTATCATAAAAATATGACAGTTTTATATAATTTATGTATTACAAAATCTTAAACAAGATAGTAGAAAAGTAGAACATACAATCATATCTATATGTAGGAGCCATACATCATAATGATAATCTTACTTAAGATATTTTCTTCAGTGAAAACTTTTCTTCAAAAAGAATGATTACCTTTTTGGGTTCAGGCTTTGTTATTCCTAATTCTTTTTCTCTTGCTTCTTTTTCTTCTTTCTCTATAGGAATGTGAGAAAAGGGAGTTTTAGTAACTTTATGAAGTAATATGGCATATACTCTTCATATCAGGACACACAACAAAAACAACACAATTTAAAAATAAAAATTACCAATATTTGTCTAAGGTTTGGTCTTAAATAAATCAATGCAAAAATTATATTCTTACTGTCTGCTTTAATCACTGTACTTATAGAAGGATTGTTCTAAATTGTGAAAGAGATTTCACCTTTTTGCTCCTGTATATATACTGCATTCAGTTTTATCCACATTTCAGTTTTCCTTTTCACTTCCTCCTCGTTAAGGATAAACTGAAAGGAAAAATGATTATGAGGGTTACTCAAAAATATTGAAATAACAAAAACAAAGAAATTCAATAAAACAAAGTAATAATAGTGATCTTAAGTTTGCTCTCTTTTTCTTGAACAATACAAGCATTTCTGTTCTCTGAGCACAGTAAATTCAACTTTATCAAAATAGTAACTGAAATATACCTTTTCCAATTCGTCATCATCTATGCCTTCAAGATCCAACTCACCATCTTCTTGATCTCCATCTACAAAAGAACAAAAATAAAAAATAATTATTATCATAATAAGATATAAATATTATCTTAACATGACAAATGCAAACACACCTGCAGAATCATAACTTCACAGCTAACATTGAAATAATCACACTTTGAGCTACTTATCAGGAGGTTAGCTGGAATACACTCCTTTGTAGACCAGTGATTTACTTGATCAGGATATAACTGACAGTGCTACAATTATAAAGTGTCAAGAGAACAATGGAAGTTTAATTCTATATTCTCTGGCCAATCACTTAGATGTTTGTAATGATGATGATGAAGAGCAGGGTCCTTTCTACCAAGATTGGTCTGAACTTTTAAACTTTGACCATAGATAATCAACAATAGTCCAATTGAATAAAAGGCTAATGTTTCAGACTCAACTTTATTTACACAGACTACTTTAAATTTATCTTCATCTTGAACTGAAGTAGACCAAATATTGTTTGAAAAATGAGGACAAATTTTCTGTACAAAATTCTTTTATGAAACTGAATACTGGCTCCAAGTGCAACTAACTCTCTTCTTCTTCTTTCTCCACAGAATCCTCCTCCTTCAAACACTCCTGAACACTTTCCATCAAACCTAAACTAGCCGCGGTGGGTCGTAAAGAGGCCAGTTTCTGTCCGGGCGTCAAATACGTGGGCGGTGGCATCAATAAGCTATCCATTTCCTGTTTTTCTAAATTATGTACATCAGTGTCAGTGCTGTCTGTTGTGTCCTCACTTAAATCTGTAAGAGGTTCCGAAGACGTGACACCCTCCAGTTCTGAGATTCCATTATCTGAGGTAATTGTGGGGTCGCTGAGTACAGCTTCGATTGTTTCGTCATTGATTATTGAACCACATGGAATGAGATCCTCGTCTTCTGCTAAGCAATCTTGGTCCTTTGATGATTCTACAAGTGAATTCTGCATTGCTTCTGCTTTGGCTAAAACAAAAATTTCATTAAAAAAAGATTATTTCTTTTTGGAAGCTTGATCTCCAGGTTCAAAAAGTGGTAAACAAGGTAATATCTTTTGAGTAAATGTTCCAAAATGCAGTCTTATATGTATACATATCTAAATGATAACCACATTTCTACATTTTGAAAAATGAGCTAAAATGGTTTTTTAAGTTTTAAATGAAATTCTTGACCATTATCCTAAGACGAGAAGTTCTCCATGAATTCAGTTAGTAAAAACTATTGTAGGAGTAAAGGAATGCTTTTTAAACTATCATTTCTCATAAGAATGATAATGGTGTCTTACCCATCTCTTTTCCCCATCTCTTCTTCATTCTAGCTTCCAGTGCTTGTTCTATTTCTTTCTGAATGCTGCTCACTTCACTGACAACCTCTGACAACTTGCCACTTTCCTCCAGCTGAAGGCAAAAAATGTCATTAATTTAACAATACTTATATAGTTTTTTTATGTGTACAATAAAGGCATTACAAATACCTTCTGATGCAATATTGGCAAATATTTTGAAGATAATGACAAAAACATCATGTAATTTCCCTTCTTAATCCATGTCAATTTCTTCACTTTCAAATCACACTTGTGCACATTACAATTTGGCACCAAGGACACCATAAAAATAAAGAAGCTGAAGAAAACTAACCATGCTCTTTGAAACACTAGCAAGGTACTTACTGATGCTTGCTCCTTGGCCTTTCTGCGACTTTTCTTAAAAGAAGGTGGGTCCTGCTCCTCCTCCAGGTCTATCCTCTGGAATTCATCTATGGTCAGTTGACTAGTGGGTGTGTCTTCAAACTCTGTTAATCTGGAATATGGAAAAGGATACAGTATAATGATATCATCTGCATTGTGCAATCAGTGTACATTGTTTGTTAAAGACAATCTGACTTCTCACACCTTGGACATTTATTAATTTTGTGATACTGTTTTTGATACAAAATAATAAGGATAATTCATGATTATCAAAGAGGACACTTTAAAAAACTCTGTTAACTGGCAAAAAAGAATAAAACAAAGCAGAAGAAGCAATATGCATAAAAAAGCAACAAATACATTCAAATTAGTAGAACAACACTATTTTTTCATCTCTGACTAGTTCAGCAGCCAAGTTTTGCCCAAGCATCATTCTGAAATTTGACCTAGCCTCACCTCTTCCTTAACGTAGCTTCACAAACTTTGACTACTTTGATTATCTCCTTCATTGTGCGGTAACATTCATGAATTCTGCAGGCAACAAACAGAGCTGAAATCCAAAAAAAAAAAAAAAAAAAGTTATGAGATTGACGTTACTTAGAGTATTCTCTTCTTAAAACATGTCTGACTTCCAACATATACACTGTAATCTATTTTTGACTTATGAAATCAATAAGATACCGAAAAAGAAAAGAAGTTTTTGATTCATAATTCGTTTTTCATAATTCATATTTCTCTCTCATCATTTTCATTTATCATATTATCATGCTTCATACCTGCCCCGCACAGTCCAGATGGTCGTCTGCCAGTTGCCATCCAATCTCTTTTCATTCTCTGTACAATTCTCAGTGCTGTCATCGATACATCATGTGTCTTCTCTTCAAAGTCCAGCTTGTGGGAGAATCTTTGAATGAGTAGGCATGGATCTACAAAACAAACAAGACAATATTGTATAAAATTTATAATTTAAAATGGAAAATATAAAATAGAAACTTAGACCATAAAGGGAAAAAGATTTTAAAAATTGATTGTAAAAATTTAAGTTATTTATTCAGTTTATACACACATTCACTCCTGTTTTTCCTCCACTTTTTTATTTCATAAAATTAATTGAAGAAATGTAATTAAGAGAAGTATTTGATAAATATTAAGCAATAAAGTCAAAAAAGAAAATTTATAAACACAAGCAAAACAGGCATTGATTAGTTTTGCTCTAGCCTGATAGATGGCGTCATCAATCCAACATTATGCTAATTGGAAATAGTGCATTGTGGGATACTACATGGATGAAAGAAGATGGCTGTCAACTGAACACTGAACAGAAGTCTTAAAAAAACCAATTATGTATACTGACGAGTCAATGCATGCCTCCCATACCAGGTAATTTATATTCTATGAATTTAAATTCATTCACCTGCCCCCTTCTATACCCAAACAAATGATCTAAAGCAGGTAAGATCCATGTTATAAAGTTGACCTAATTAAGTTACAATTTGATACATTTTCTAGAGGTGAGTGCCCCAGAAGGGTATGTCTAAATTTGGAAAATCTAAGTATCTGATTACCTGTAGCTAGTTGGAATTGGACTTGATTGAAGCTGTAAGTGTTGCTCTATGACAAACAATGATGTGTGGTTGTAATTACTGTGTGAAGAGAACAAGGTTTAATTCTAAAATGATCAGAAGTAGATTTAAACAACTAAAGTAAGTACATCACTGGTTTGTATCATAACTTATATGTTATTCATAGCAATGACAAAAGCACAGAGAAAGTGGCTAGTGTTATTTATCAAGCTGACCTGGAATCAAAGTAGCAATTTGTAATGCAGAAGGGTTGGTCTGATAACATTTCAGCTCCCAAAGGACTAATTTATACACACACTATCTGATAAATTGTAACATGTGAAACATATCACTGGTGACTTATTTACAACTAGCACATGGGGCATGGAATGAAAATTCTGTACCTATGTAACTATCAAGTGTATGGAGAAGTATGAGAATAACATATCAGTCGACATAATATCGAGGAATTTATGATAATCTTCTTAATCAAACAAACTATCATCTGGGATAGCAGGCAGAAACCTCCAGGCTGTTTATCACTGTCCAAAACCATGACATGGTCAGGGAGATAAATGTTATAAATAAATTCAGTCATATGATTCTGAACTGTGAGAGCTAGTCTATATGTTCTCACACCTAGTATCCAAATTTCTCACTCTGATGTCCAATAGGAAGATGTCTAAGAGTAATCCAGTCATTTTTGTTATATCCGATAGGATGCAGTATATTGATGATGATGAGGTCAACCAAGAGGTCCCGGAAAACAAGGCAGGAGTGAGTCAGACCATGGGCATCAGCCGCCAGCCCAGACCTCGTCTTCCGGCTCCCAGACCCAAATCCATGCACAGTACAAACGAACTCAACTGGCAGTCCAACTACACCAGCGTTAAGGAACGCAATGCCGCCATGTGTAATAATGACCTCATGGCAGACGTAGTGTTCATTGTGGGACAGAAGTCGACTGGTGGTGTACAACGAATACCTGCTCATAAATATAACCTGGCTACGGGGAGCTCTGTGTTCTTTGCTATGTTCTATGGTGGACTGGCTGACGGGAAGACAGAGATAGCAATACCTGATGTGGAGCCTGCTGCATTTCTCAATTTACTCAAGTAAGTTGGGCTATTGTTTCAATTGTCTTCATTTTGTTTAGAATCATCTAAATGAACAGGGTCTTATACTGAAGACCTAGTTCAGTAATGCCTAATCATGGCATGTATGTACTTATGCTGGCTATTTTCACAAATTATATGTACTAATTTGTGCTTACTGTTTTGAACTGGAGTTTTTTGGACATTGAAAAAAAATTTATCATAATATTGCAACTCACTGAAAAACTATTCTTTCAAAGTAATTTAAGAATGCATCAAAATTCATTTAAATATTGCAATTAATCAACTTTTAAATAAATCAATTAACAGTAATGAAAGAAAAGTGTACAATTGATTTTAAAGTAAGGCATTTTTGAAGTGTCTTCAAAACAAAACTTGTGTATTATTTCAGGTACCTATACTATGACGCCATAGACTTGGAACCAGACACAGTGTTAGCCACCCTGTATGTGGCCAAGAAGTACATAGTACCCTATCTCGCCAAGGCTTGCGTCCAGTTCCTAGAGACCAGTCTTAACGCCAAGAACGCCTGTGTCCTGTTAAGCCAGAGTAGGCTGTTTGAGGAACACGAGCTGATGCTGAGGTGCTGGGAGGTGATCGATGCACAGGCTGAAGAGGCACTGAAAGCTGAAAGTTTTGCCGAGATTGACCACGAAACTCTGAAAACGGTCCTCTTGAGGGAGACGTTACATTCACAGGAGACATCCATCTTTGAGGCAACATGCAGATGGGCTGAGGCCGAGTGCGTTAGGAGAGACTTGGAACCGACCAATCAAAACAAGAGAAAAGTCCTTGGCTCAGCTCTGTACTTGGTAAGAATACCATCCATGAAGTTAGAAGACTTCGCTAATGGCCCTGCTCAGTCAGGGATACTCACTCTTAAGGAGACTAATAATATTTTTCTGTGGTATACAGCAACACACAAACCTCAGCTTCCTTTTCCTGTTAAGTCGCGTGTTGGACTAAGACCCTTCAGATGCCATCGTTTTCAGTCATCTGCTTATCGCAGTAACCAGTGGAGATATAGAGGGCGTTGTGATAGCATACAATTTTCTATAGACAAGAGAATCTTTGTCGCAGGGTTTGGCTTATACGGCTCTAGCAATGGATCTGCTGAATACAGGGTTAAAATTGAGCTCAAGAAAAATGGGATAATTCTGGGAGAAAAGACCACCAAGTTCTTCTCAGATGGCTCCAGTAATACGTTTCCCGTGATGTTTGAGAATCCCATCCAGGTGGAGCCTGATGCTTTCTACACTGCCAGTGCAATCCTGGACGGGGCGGAACTGTCGTATTTTGGGCAGGAGGGAATGGCGGAGGTGCAGGTGGGAAAGGTGACTTTTCAGTACCAGTGCTCCTCTGACAGCACAAATGGAACAGGGGTTCAGGGGGGACAAATTCCTGAGATAATTTTCTACGGGTAGACCTTGGATAGCAGTTCTCATGCGTGTACACAATGCAAATGTTGTCAAACTGTACAAATGTTGCATAATGTAGTAAAATGTAGTAAACGTACGATTGTTTTGAACATACCCAGCACAGCTTCATTCCAACTTGAATTTCATTTTTAAGCATGTATAGTATCTCGTCCCTCCTACGTAGGCGTGGTTATAACAGTGAAATTGTACTTAAAACGGGCACATATCAAGAGTTGTCAATAAACTGGTTACCTCATCTTTTTCTGTACACTTGCATGCAGGATGCATGATATTTATTTATAATTTTCTTCTGTTTGTTTCTTCAACAGCTATTAAATTTAGAGCTGTAATTGCTGCTCAATGTAAAGGAGCAGTGGCAAAGGTAAGAGGCATGTAGAATACGTGGAGCTTTCTTGTATATAGGTGGTAATATTTATATACATATTGTGATATACATTTTGTATGTTCAATATAATTCCTTTTCAAATAAATATTTACAATTAATAAATTAGTAGTAAATAATTGTTAACTAGTAAACATGTTATCAATGTATTTATTATACAGCTAGTATTACTGAAGGAAATATCTCTAGTATTCTTAAATTGCATAAAATAGTATCATTCTACATAGACACACATGGGATCTTTTCAAATCTTCACCAGTTTATTTTAATTGTTATCTTGATTACAATGAACTGATAGTTCTTATTAGCAAGGTCCTCTGCATAGGTGGTTTCGTTAGGACTTATATTCTTCATGTAGAAGCCAACATGATGCAAGTGGGCAAAATATATAGGGATCATGTGATACTGTCAATTACTTTCAAAGTTGGGCTTTACTTTTATAATGATCTGACAATATCTGTATATTTAATTCATTGAAAGTCAAATAAATACAGTGAATGTTGACTTTGGCAGTTTTGTTTCAAATGAAATTATATCACACTTTTAAAAAGGTGGACTCCAGATAAATTATATATATCAAATGAATTATTCAGAAATAACTAGAATAATTACAGCTTTTCCAGTAATTTATCTACTCAACTTCACGGGCGTCAATATTTTCAGCACGGGGCAAATTTTGGTGAAATGTAATGCACGTAATGTATCTAAAGTTATTTCAATCACTTTCTTGTCTTGCCCAATATCAACTCCACTTAAAGCACTCAACAACACAAAATTGTCTATTGAATTCTATTTACCTCATAAGAAATTGACTAAAATCTCATCATTACATGCCTACTTGTATATCAGATTTGGAAATTTTTAAGTTCTAAACATAGCATATTATTCTTATATACTAGAAATGTGGTAATGCCCACTAAAGCACAGTAAATTTTAGAAAATTTGTAAATTATAAATTGGATACAGAGAAAAGGAGAAAATTTTTTTCAGCATATCTATCATTGATTTATTTCAAAACATAAACCTGACTAAATAAATTTTGGTATTAGACCAAGATAAATTTTATCCCAGTGATAAATATTAAAACTTGCTAAGTTTTGAGAAAAATAAATAAATAAAATAAATAAATAAATAAATAATAAATTATATTTCCCCGAACTGCCTTTATAAACAAATGTATACTCACCAATAGCTGGTGCATTTATACACAGTTCTCTAGACAAGTGGAGATATGTTTTCCCCAGTGTGTAAACATTGACTTGGAGTATATCACTAAAATCCAACAGCATATCTAATGCAAGTTAAGGAATTTTTTTCCAAATCGTCCGGTTAATAAAATGCACTCAATGGATGTCATTTTGACTATTGATTTGCAAGATCTGTGGTTTGACATGATAATAAGGTTGATATGCATACTAGTAAGGATTTCACCATACACATTGGAGGACATTGGAGGATAAAGTACTGTATTACAGCCAGGTAGCCTAATTAACAGGATCACAGAGTTCACAGCTGGGCTTGGAACTTATTGATCTGTTAAATCCTCACTCTTACCTCCCTTGGGATTTCAGGTACCACCTTGATTAGAGTTACAGAGCTGAACCAAGCCAGCTGAACATGATTATCAAATTCACAGAAAAAAAGGATACGTGGGGTGCCTTCTGTTCTGCAAACTAAATATAAACAGGCTGCTATAACGTGTTTGGTTTTTCTTCCCCTTGTCAGGCGCTTACTGACAGCCATTTTGAAGAAGTTGTAACCTATTTCTATACAATGTTGATTCAGCTTCAACTGTGAGGCCAGCTGTTGGATATTTCTTTTTCCTGTGAAAAAAGGGTTATCATCAATATGACATAGCATCAATAAATATCTAAACATTACTGTGTGTAATGTGTCATGTCTTAAGATGGGGACCATTAAACAGACAATAAATAAATAAATAAATAAATAAATAAATAAATAAATAAATAAATAATAGCTACATACAAACATATACATATACAAGGCAGCAAAGCTGTCAAATGTACAGACAAAAACAGAAAATATAAATGCAGAAAATGGGTCATTTTGTCAANGGTTTTTCACTTATCGTGTTATCGGTGAAAGTGCACGGCGACGACGACGGCGACGACGGCAGACGCAGATGATGGCTATATGTACAGACACATCTGTGTCTGTACATAATAAAACTATCTGGAAGACAGGTTGAAATGGTCTACTGAACATCTGAATTCTTCATTCTTTTAAACTTGACACAAAGACCACCTTATATGTACTGACAGTCAATGAAAACGCATCAGAAAACTTTCTTGTACTATTTTACCAAGAATTGGTTCCAACCATATAAATGAGTACAAATGCACTTGTTTGGTCATAAGAGAGTCCCTTATTTGACTGAATAATGGGTCATATTTCACACGAAAACTGTTATTTTCTTAATGTTCCAAAGGAACTTGAATATTATTTATAAATAATAAATTTTATGATGCGTTTATAAAAAAATAAATGATGCGTTTTCATTGACTGTCAGTACACATATATGAAATTATGCATGCCTTCCAGGTATTAAAACCTTACCATTTTGCAAAGTGACAGCCCGGGATTCCTTTCCAAAACCATGATGGAAACCACTGCCCATGCTGTGCGACTTGTTCCCTAAATAATAATAATAATAATAATAATAATAATAACAATAATAATAATAATTATATTGAAATGTCTAAACCTTTATTCTTATGGCACTTGCTTGGTTCAGTCACTCTGGCTCCAACTTATTCAGGTGTAAGTGGCTTTCATCCTATCAGTTTTATTATTCTCCAGTACATTTACCATAGTTGCCAACATTACAGTGCAAAAAAAAAATGCATAAATTTATAGTTAAAGATATAATTAACAATAGTGCCTTTAAACACAAAGAACCAACTCCAAAATGTGCATAACGACAATAACATTACTGGTAAGATTTGGGGAAACTCATTCACTGATGAAACTGGTTTCGCAAGGGTTTGATATTCTCTAGGGATGTGAACGACCACAAACTTCACCTCACCTTCCGCAGACACATACTGCCCAATGACAGAGGTGCCACCTATTGAGTTTTCTTGGAACTGGACCTCTGAGACAATGATCTGGTCCTCCAGTACAGACCCACAGCTGGTGCACACGGCGTCACCACGGGCAGCATCCGTGTCGATCTCACTGCAACCGCAGTGCTGGCACACCCGACTAGACATTGTCTGCAACTAACAAGAGGACATGCATTATATTTTTCTTATAAAATGCCATATAACAATAACATACATTAATGAATTAATTATAATTATAATTAAGATTATTACGATAAGGTGTTGACTGCAATATTATGCACTGATAAAAAGAGAGTGATAAGGGAAACCATTATGCAGCTGGGGGTTCATATCTGGTTCACTGACCCAAAAGGCACTGAAGTGTTGTTAGCACTTACTTATTCTTGAATAGATTTTACATTACTGGTCTCCACTTTTAATGGTATCTCACATTCTCAATCAATTATGTAACATTCCCCATAGAGTTGTTCCCGTCTTACAATGCTCTCCACCTGATCCTGTTTATATTGCTGGTATAAGGGTTGAGGTAAAATACAACTGTCCCATTATTACAGTATCTATAATTTTACATACTAACCTAAATTTAATTGAGATACCATCTGTTCTTTCAATCTTTGTGCTTATATGAACTTGCCAGTTGAGATATTTTAATGAAAGCTCTTACATAACAACATTTTTCTATCTTAAATAGTTTGTGTTACTTGTTTTACACGATTCTATTTCGTTGTAAAAATAAAAAGAGGATAATTGATGGACAAATACGTGGAATTATAAATACAAAAAATATTTCGCTCTCCATTAAACTGTACAGTGAACTGCTTCTGCAGTTTCCTTCATCACGTACAAAATTTACCTTCTCATTAATCCTCTAAGACACTGTAAGGGAGAAATTGCTACAGTGGGCAGGCAATGGCATCTCACGTGGAAGACATGCACGGTGATTCCATCTCTAACAGCTTCATGTTGCAATATGTGAGCAACTGTGAGCAACTTCAGACTCTTCCGATAGGTGGCGGAAATGTCCCGGAGACATATTTCACGTGTAAATTTGGGATATGAAATTTATAAAAAAAATCATGATATCAGCATTATGTCAAATATATTAAAAGAAAATCTTCACATTTACTAGGTTTGATAATTTACACATGTTAAAGTATTCAATTTACTCAAAAAAGTTGCATTTAAGAAGACATTTTAACATAGAATTTTCTTCAACTTTACGGAGTGTATTATACTACCTTCTAAATGATGTCATTAGCTAAGACAAGTTGATGACGATTTGATGGTTTTGTGTTTATGTGCAATAACATGACCGTGCAAGAGACCGGTAAGCAATATTATAAGTAGCCTAGAATACGTACATTAAAGTAATGTATTCCGATTGTGGCATTTACACTAGTTAATTGTAAAACTGATAGTATTAAAACGTATGTTGTATAGAAGCAGCAACCAAATGCTTTGTCAATGTCACGTTCTTGTCTGTGTTCACTGTTTCATCGCCAAGAGAAACAGTACATGTTGAGTATATGTAACGAGTCACGTAATAACTATATCGTATACTTGAGGTAGCCAACCTAAGGCTGCCAGTACGTAGAGCATTTTTCCCAAGATTTCGACTGCCCCAGTGCCTCACTACCACTAGTCTCTGCAGGCAGGATTTGGCTTTGTTAATACTGATTAGTAACTTTCATCTCATTTTATGTTTATTGAGTGCTGTGCTTGAGAATCAAGCATTTCTTTGTTGTTGGGGGTTAAAAAATAGGATAGGGACTTTAAGACATTCAATCCTGCCTCGCTCTTAACTTAACAAGTCACATACTGCAGTGGCATGAAGATTCCTGTGTTAGTGGTGTGTAAGCATTCATGTTTACAAGAAATTATGCCCTGGTTAGAAATGTGGTGGATGCAGCCAAGCCTTCAACAGACTTTCGAATCCACAGAATTGGTAAACCCATGATGCAATTTGTCCATCTGCTAGGAATCAGTGCTGTGCAAAATTGACAGTGATAGAATTTGTTTGATCAGTGTAATTAGGGTGTGCCTAAATTGTGCAATACAGAGCAACACAGTGGAACACACTTGAAAAAACGAGACCAATCACAAGTAAACATGGGAAAATGGTCATTCCAAACAAAATAGGGTGATATCAAATCAAAATATATTACTAAGTAATTAATATTATCAATACAATTTGTTCATCATTGGGTCAACTTCCTTGTTGGCGAGTGGCTCTTCTTGGTCAGTAATATTGCCAGGAACAGCTTTGATTTAGATTGGATTTATTAATGAACTGACTTGTTTTCTTGGCACAAACCTATCTTTAAAATCATAATTTCATTACTTCTGATCACTATAAATATAAATATGATGTGTGTATATATTAATTTTGTCATCCAATCCAAGCACATTTCAGTAATTTCTATAGGATCACCATATCTGGTCTTAATGGAACCTGTATCTCTCTGTCTATATTGTAACAATAAGGGATACGTAAAGTGTAAAATAAGGAGTACTGGAGACAAAATATTTGGATTGCCCATGGGAGTTATAAACAAAAGAAATTTAGATATCAAACAGGGTAAGTATTTTAACCTCTGTTTTAATTAGGCTCCATAAATGTGAAACCAAAATGTGTGTAAGAAAATATTTTAACATTTTAATTTCAATTCCCAAGTGTCATGTGAGAGCTGATGCAAGTCAATGAGTGGTCCCGACCCCAAAAGACGCTGCATCATGAATGACTGCTACGAGGATGGTTTGATTGAAGATGTTGCTGAACCCACTATACGCCCTGAACATGGTGTCAAAATCCTGCAGGGCTTGAACCACCTCAAAAGAGACAAAGTACTGTGTGATGTGACATTAATTGCTGAAGGTGACTATTATATTTTGTTCAAAGAAAATTTTCTTTTTTAGAAGTATAAATAAAATGATAGTCCATCATTAACATGTATTTGTTGACACATTGCATAAAGTTGACATAAGATCATTCCACTTAATGTTACAATTTTTTATGCAAAGGCATGTTTAACCTCGATTATATCCTGTAGATTTATATTATTTATATTATAATCATTTATATTGTCTTATTATGTTCCATTATATAAATGATCCAGTAATATCTAAAACCAAACACGATTATTTTGCAGCTCAACGCTTTGATGTCCACAAAGTGATTCTGGTATCATGTTCAGATTACTTCCGTTCCATGTTCACGAGTGGGATGAAGGAGAGCACTCAGCGGGAGATCGAGTTGAAAGGGGTGACCGCCAGGGGCTTGGATAAAGTGCTGGAGATAGTCTATACATCAAGTACCACTTTAGACGGAGATGACATATTTGACGTCACGGCAGCTGCCACGCATTTACAAGTCACACCAGTGATTGAGTTTTGCGAAAAGAACTTCCTAAGTGGCATGACCACTGGGAATTTTTACGATTTTATAACCACTGCTAAATTATACAACATGAATAATGCTCTGAAACAGATTGACAGTTTTATCTCCCAGAACTTGATGCAGATTGCTTTAGAGGGGACCCTTCACCTTCTCACTTATGACCAAATCTTGAGCTGTCTAAGCTGTGATACTCTAAAATTGAAGGAGATAGATTTGTTTCAGGTGGCGTGGGAGTGGATTAGGATGGATCAGAACAGGGAGAGGTGTATTGTAGCTCTGATGACCAACATCAGGTTTCCCTTGATCAGTCCTGCTGATTTAGTTCAGAAGGTGCAGAGTATAGATGTCATGATGAACATCAAGGAACTGAGAGAGATGGTGTTGGAGGCTTTAAATTATCACGTCGTCCCTCACTCTCAGCCTCTGCATCATTCCAGTAACACTCACGTGAGGTCATTTGAAGAAAGACTTATTAGCGTAGGTGGTCGTGAGATTCACCCTTTTCCTGGTCTGCATGACGAAATTTTAGTCTACGACGCCAAGATGTCTGCCAGTAGCTTGATGAATAGACGTCATATGGCGAGCTTACCACATGCTCTCAGTCACATGCAAGTGGTCGTGATGAACAATTTTCTCTACGTCATGGGAGGGTGCACTACGCAGTGTGCGCATGGGGAGTCTGCGACAAACTCTGTCATGAGGTACGACCCCAGGTTCGATGCCTGGTTTCAGGTGGCTCCCATGATCAACAAACGGGCATATTTCTATTCTGGAGCCTTGAACAATAAACTGTTTGCAATAGGTGGGAAGTACAAGGAAGGCAGCCTGGCCTCAGGAGAGATGTATGACCCTGCTGATAACTCCTGGACCCCAATCTCTGCTATGCCCACATCGTACCATGCTCACGCTGGGGCAGTTTACGGAAACCATATATTTGTAAGTGGCGGCTACAGCAGTAACCATTTTACACCAGACATGCAGCGTTACGATCCAACCTTGAACCAGTGGGAGGACATGACATCGATGCTCTCCCCGCGTGCGTGGCACGTCATGTGCATAGCTCGTGATCGTTTATTTGTCTTTGGAGGGTGCAACCTTAACGCCAACCAGCAAGCACAGCCTGTGATGCAGTCTGAGTGTTACGACCCTGACACTGATCAGTGGACAGTGATCGCCCCAATGTCTATCTCACACAAAGAGGCCAGCTGTGTGGTGTTCCAAAACTCCATATTTGTCCTAGGAGGGTATAATGTACAGACTAAAACTGGACAGAAAATGGTTTCCAAGTATGATCTGACCATGGGGACGTGGGAGACGCTGGGGGCACTGCCCAGAAGCATGACTGGCGTGGGACACTGTGTGTTGAAATTGCCTTGGTATTTGGACTGTGTCCAGGAGTAGCTCCCCCGAGTCTCGGAGATCACTCCGAGCTCACCTCTGTTACCCCTAAAACACAGGGAGAGAGCAAAGGCAAAGTGGAGATTTAGGCATTGATGAAAACTGGCTTGGCATGCTTCACCAGGGGTGGTTTTAGTCTAGAAATCAACTTAAATGTGATCATTTGACCAATGGAATGTCTCTGTAATCTGGTCATCTGACAGTGCGAATTAAGTTGTCTTTCCATAGAGGCTTGCCTATTTAAGTACAGCCTATATATGAGACTGGTCTGCTTTGATTAGCTGCCCATTGTGAGTTCAACACAGTTGCTGTTGTGAGTTCAACACAATTGCTGTATTAAGCTCACCAAAGACGGCAAACCAAATCTCTCTGTTGCCCCACTCATGGTTATATTTATTGGTACAAGTAGATGGTTGTACTGACATAGGTCATACTGACTGGAGAAATGGCACTGTCAGAGGTACTAGTAGCTTGGTGTCCTGTTGTAAGCAAATCATTATCAGATGAACTGAATTAGGTGGAACCAACTTGACTGGAGACATGCCTAGTATTTGATTTCTGGTCTAAAATGATCACTGTAGAAGCAGACTTTCACATACACAAAGCAGCTGGAAATAAAATACTCCCAAATTGCCTGCACATTGGTATGCGGTGGTATCCAAGCTAAAGCTAAAATAATGTGTCAAATTCATAATTAGAAGAGACTCTCTCATGTAAGGTGTCTACAAGAGTCATAGTTTTGTTTGTCATATTCAGATTTGTGTGCATTTGGATGTGTTATAGGGAAGTAAATAAAATTTAGTTTCAGTTAGAAATGGTTGGTTATGATAAATTGGGGACATCTTGTTCTTTTTGTAGATTTTTTAAGTCCTACAGTATCACAGAAAGAGTAGGAGTTATTTTATCACACAAATGCAGTTTTTTGTTCTCTCAATACCAAAGTAGCTCTATTTAAAGAAAGTCCAGTGTTTATAATTGAGGTTTTCAATAAAGTAAATGAGCATGACATATTTATTTATTTCAAAGGAATGTTTAAGAACAAAATTATGCAGTTTACATATAAATTAGATCAAACCAGAGTTGTTCATAGGTGCATATTGTGAATGCATGAATTTTGGACAACTGGAGATAAAATGATTGAAACCCTGCTGTGACGAAATATTGTAGGTCTGTTAGGAAAATGTTGGGACTTAAGATAGAACAGTGGCAAACAAGTTTCAGGAAAACTACTTTTTCTTCTAGAATGTTTCACGGAAAAGAGGATATCTGACAAAAAAACTTTGCTTTACTATGCTGTTGTTTACTTGGCAATATATTAGATTTGTCGTATCACTTTCATCAAGCTAAAAAATATATAACTGCTAGGAGTGAATTTTGTAAGTGAAGCACTGCTGTCTATGTCACGGACATCAATTTACTAGAAGAAAACTGCGTAATAAACAAACTGATATTTGTGTGATAGATTGCATGTGTTGAGAAAATTTAGTCTGATTAACAGTTTTGACTGTTTTAACTTAACTGTTTTAACTTAAAAGTTTTGAAACATGTCATTATTTGAAATGGGAATTATTAAGTAGTGGGATTTTATTAAATTTTTGTGATTTTCACAAACTGCGACATGAATCTATAGATTCGTGTCGCAACCTCAGTTTGGAATGTCAGATGCGACATGAATCTATAGATTCATGGCGCAAGATCAGCTTGGACTCTCAGATGCGACATGAATCTATAGATTCATGTCGCATCTGACATTCCAAACTGAGGTTGCGACAAAATCAGCTTGGACTCTCAGAATTTGATATAAATCCAAGATTTCAGTCAGTAGCTTCAAACTTCTCTTTGATGGCAAAAATCACTATGTTTTTTCCATTTATATATTTATTCATTTATTCACATATACACACACACATACATATTTATTTATTTATGTGCGTGTGTTGTCACACATTCAAGAGGTATATCTGAATCCAGTTATGTTGTTTAAGAATACCATAGTGGTCAGTAGTTCTTAAAGTACTCTGATATTTTTGCAAGTTAATGTACTATAAACAATTTATGTAAGCATTAACAAATCATTATATATATTGCAAGGGGCTATACTGATTATAAACACATTCCATTGTTAAAGAGACAACAACTGTTCAATTTGGCCAAAAAAGTGGATTTTCCTGAGGTAAAGGACAATTTTCCCATACTTACCAATGGTTAATGAACCCATTTCCAGATTCATAATTTGTCCCTGTTTTTTTTTTTTTTTT